TCCCCCCCCCCCCCCTCTGATTCATAGTACTATCCAAAAAATATCAAAATCACAATTTGAAAGACTAGGCTCAAATTTTTTAGCTCTTTCCTAAACCTGAACCAAAATGTAACAGTTAAATTATAAAATGGCAACATGATTATTAGTTTACAGAAAGCATTTACATTTTTTTGTTTAAACTTTGGTATCATCACTGGGATTCTAAGTTTACAACATATGATAAGTGAATTTAAATAAGTGTTCAATCATTTAGCAAGCCTGACCCCTAGTGGAAAACAACATTATTTAAAATAATTGTTTTATTGATTTAGACATCTTTGGAAATATACATCATTTACTCATGAACTTCAAGCGGTCAGTATGAGGTGTTTTCACTTGTGACCTAGCAGCATGCATGTAGAATGGCATTAAAGGCAAATTGGTTACTACTTTTGTTTTTGAACATATGTACTGTGACATGTTTGGGATCATTTAATACAGGGGTTTTCAGCCTTTTTTAATAAGTGTACCCCTGGTGGCCAGACACGGAGCGCCAAGGTGGGGGCAGTGGAACGTGGCCAGCATGGGGTGGTGGATGGCAGTGGCAGCTATTGCCACATGCAAGCTTCCCCCTCCCCCCCACCCCCACATCTGACCAGCCAGGTGGCACCTGTGTGGCCTGCAGAGGGGTACCACTGCCCTCACCCTGCCCCAGCCCTGCTCCTAGGAGGTGGTGGCACCGGGTGGTGGGTGGCGGAGCTCCGTCCCTGCCTGCCCATGCATACCCCTTAGGTCCTTCCCAAGTACCCCTGGGGGTACACATGCCCCTGGTTGCAAACCCCGATCTAATATTTAATAAACAATAAACACATGAAGACTTATTAAGTATCTCTGATATATGTAGCCTTCACAAGCTATTACTTCTTCCATTAAACACCAACAGACATGCTCCTTTCTTTCCCAGGTGGCCCTGGATTTATGGGAAGATTTAAAGATTTGTAAAGAAGGGCAGAAAGAATGGCTTAATCAAAAAATCAATGAGTCTCAGTTTATCATCATTGTGTGTTCCAAAGGGATGAAATACTTTGTGGAAAAAAAGAACTGGAAGCACAAGGGAACAAGCAAAGACATTGGGAAAGGAGAACTCTTTCTATTTGCAGTGTCCACCATTGCAGAGAAGCTGCGTCAAGCAAAGCAGAATTCAGGTGACCTCTGCAAGTTCATTGCAGTCTACTTTGATTACTCCTGCGAAGGTGATATTCCTGGCATTCTGGATCTAAGTACAAAGTACAAGCTCATGGATAACCTGCCTCAGCTTTACTCTCACCTACACTCCAAAGATCTCAGCTTTCAAGATTCAGAGGTGTATCTAGTAAATATTAGCAAAAGAAACTATTTCAGGAACAAATCTGGCCGTTCCCTTTATGTTGCCATTTGCAACATGCACCAGTTCATTGATCAGGAGCCAGATTGGTTTGAAAAACAGTTTATTCCATTTCCTCCACCTCCTTTACATTATCAAGAGCCTGTCATGGAAAAATTTGACTCAGGCTTGGTTTTAAATGACTTGGTGAATAAGCATGTGACTGAAGGGGATTTTTATCTGAAAACAGATGCAAATTCTATCCCTGCTATAAATTCAGACTCTCCATGTATAATTCAGCACTTAAACCTTGGAGGAGATACAGAGACTCGGGATATTCAAGATGGTGGCTCTGTTCTTCAGCCTCTGTTGCACATTGTAAAAGCTGCCAATCTCCCAGACATGCCAAGGGATTCTGGAATCTATGATTCTTCTGTTCCATCATCTGAGTTATCTCTACCTTTAATGGAAGGACTTTTGACAGACCAAACTGAAACCTCTTCCATTACAGAGAGTGTCTCATCATCTTCAGGATTAGGTAAAATGAAGTAGTTTTAAAAAAAATCACATTAACACACAATATTCATGTTGCTGGCATACTTTTAGTTACATTAAGTTAGGGGCCATAAAAGAAGCTGGGAAAAAAGTTATGTAAAATAGAGATGGTCAGAAATACAGGGTCTTCATAAAGTCTTTGTGAACTTTTAAACTTTAATAACTTAGGTTGTGCAAAAGACCCTGTATAGGAGTTTATTTTGTTAAAAAAATTATCCAGTTGTGAAAAATACATCAAAATTCTAAAATTAGAATTTTGGAAAAATTATGAGCCTTGTTTATGCGGTCTGAAAACCTGTTGTTAGGCTTTTTTAATGTTCCAATTTTTAACCAGCTCTATTGGAACAAAGAACCGTTACTGTATTGCAGTTAACTTAAGGTATCAGGCTTCTGATGACACACATTTTCCAATACAGTTGCTCTTGTCTTCCTGACCATGAAGTATTGATAAACTGTGAGGTCAAGAACACGAGAGGAGTTGTATTTATTGCTATCAAAATTCTACCTGCTGAATTTCACCTTTCCTCAAATCAAACCTCAATAGCATAACTAAGGGTGGGTGAGAGGGGCATCTGCTCCAGGCACCAAGTTAGGAGGAGGACAAGAATCACCCCCATGTCCATGAAGTATGTGCCCTGAAAGCAAGAGCAGCCTCCTGGCTTACCCATGCTGGGAACTCCAAAACTCCATGCTTTAAGAACAACAGTTGGGGTGGGCAGAGCATAAGGCCGTGGCAGTAGCAGCAGCAGCTCAGCCAGAGACTCTAGGACAGGAGTGGGCAAAAGCTGGCCTGCAGGCCAGACTGGGCTTGTGATAGACTCCATTTCCCAGTAGTCCCTACTTGCACACCACTCAAGCTGGTCTCCATGGAGACCCCAGGAGTGACAGGACCGTGACAGCTTGAGGCCGACACAACCTTGCGCTCCCAGGGTCTCTGTGGAGATCTGCCCAGAGTAGTGCTGGTAGGGCACATGGGTGGTTAGGTGTCACAAGGTCATGTAGGTGCCTTGTGCGTAGAAAAGGGTTAAGAAGAGCTGCCAATCACCAGGGCAGCCCAGCTGCTGGTTGCTGGGGCAACCATGTTGGTCAGGTGACCAGAAGGGGGCAGGGCCGGGCCCTTATAAACAGCCCAGGCCAG